CACTCACAAATCACATAACAATGAGTGCGAAAAAGGTGAAGATATTATAATATTTTAATATACCTATCGAAACGCTTTATGTATGAGAGACAATACAACCCAATCTCGTTCACAATTTAATTTTATTTACCAGACATTCGAAAAATCAGAATACACGTACAGAATTTGCATCGTCTAAACAGAATTGAGTTCTATTCCAATATACATAATACATTTATTCCTATAAATTCGATTTCCCTAACAAGATAAAAAGAAACAAACAAAAGCTAAAAACTCCAGACAGAGAATTATCTTGAAAAAAGAACGTCGAAAAGCGACCAATCAGATTTAAAAATGCCGGGAGTCAATAATACCGAGGCGAGCAACTCATTATCATTCTAAACGCGTGCCTCTCGCCCTTTCTGAAGAAGAGCCGATTAAGTTCGTGAGTGGATGGACTACAATATCCTTTTCAGTGAATGCAAATTACGCTGCGGTGTGAGTGGCAGCCTCTTGAATGGGGGTTAGGCTTTTAACTTTTTTATTTTTTTCAATTGTGGGGTAAAATATTTATGATGTATCGTGGATTGAGAATTTTAAATGTACCTACTTAGCACCTCGAAGAAGTTTATTGATCAATTGGTTTATTTTTCGTTCATTCTTCTATTTCAACAGCCCATAACAGTCCAGTGTTGAGCTATGGGCATAAAAGAGTATGGCTATAATCTCCAGGCTTGGCAGGCTGTTTAGAGATTGCAGTTTAAAAGTTCAAGTTCATCGAGTCTTAAATCTCATAGTTAACAGAGATACCCATAGGAAGAGAAGGGGTATTGATAAATGAGTTTTACTCTATCGTTTAAACACAATCAAAATCAACTTATTTAATTACAAGTACAAAAACATGGGGTTCTATGAACAATCATTTTCAGTTCGTACTGTACCTTTGACATTTGAAATGAGCTTCTTCGCTTTGTGGTAGTGATGTGCCTTGTATATCCGAATATCCGATAAATACGAATTGCTGTTGTGTTTTTTTATTAGTAACTAGCGACCCGCCCCGGCTTCGTACGGGTGCAATATGCATGTATCGTACATATACACCTTCCTTAAAAATCACTATCTATTAAAAAACACCGCATAAAAAACCGGTGCGTAGTTTTAAAGATCTAAACATACATAGAGACAGATAGACGGCGGATAGCGATTTTGTTTTATTCTATGTAGTGATGTATTAAGGAACGGAATATTTTAAGATTTTCTTTACTTTATTACACACATTCGTTAACATTATTAGTACGTATGAATTGCAATTAATACAGGTACCGTATTACATGGGACGCGTAACATAAATAGTAAAATTGGGAGTTACATTGTACAGTGGCATTAAATGCCGTAATATGCACTTCTGCTTCTCCTTCGGGGATAAAAGGTGTGATGTTATATTAGTTACTTAGTCTAAGTGTTGAAGAGCTAAGCTTCGGCACGAATAGACCGGCTCGACCGGAGTGATACCACGGCCTTACAGAAAACCGACGTGAAGCAACAATTGCATTATGTTTCGTCGTATGAATGAGGTTACCGAAAGCCCAGTTACCTCACTCCCTTTCCCCAATCACCCCAATCCCCGAATCCCCAACAATCCTCAAACTTCTAATCCATAAAAGGCCGGTAACGCACTTGTAACGACTCTGGTGTTCCAGGTGTCCATGGGCGACGCCTGTTGCTTACCATTAGGTGATCCGTCTGCTCGTTTACCGTTCATACCATACAAAAAAGAAATACATCAATGTTACGGTTATTTTCACAACAAAATATATACAGCTCTATAGAAAGTTACGCGCCGTGTGCGCTTGGTTGGTTTGCGCAGCCAATCTGGCGAAGCAACCAGATCGGATGGTAGCTCAGAATGTTACTAGTATCCATCCTGGTCGCGCCGCCATAGCGCTGTATGGTGTCTCAATCAGTTAGCCGCCAGTCCGGCCACCAGTAATATTCGAGGTCCATTTTGATACTGTCGCTGTGTTGTATCACCTCTGGTATCTGGATATTTTCCAGTTTTTTAGCCTACGGACACAATGGAACCGCGACTGGTTATACCGCCATGGTGTAGGAAAACCACCTTCTTAAATGTAGGTATAGGAAATCATTAAAATAGGTAACACTTAACGGCATTCCGATTTTCACCAACCTAAAAGTGGCTTATAAAAATATAAGAAAGGTTACTATAGGTGGTCTCTCACTGAAAATGATGCTTAGTTAAGAAATTATTTAAGAGCGGTGGCTTAAAAATATTTTGATCCTCAAACACATACACCTTGTAAAAAGCACATTATCAGCGTTGCATTCTAACCACTAGTTTTACAATAACACTGCACTTTAATATAACAAAGTATCCGAAGATATCCGCAAATATCGGTACGTGATCCCAGCCTTAAGTCGCCCGCTCCGCCTTCCAGTCCGATAATATACGTGCTCTAGATTTTCGTCAGCGATAGCAAACAAAACGTATTCCATCCTCTGTAACCTAATTCTATAATAATAGGTAGTATTCTATTATATGTTTAACCTACATAAGGTATAGTATTGTACCTTTGATCTCAATGAAAGCTAGGCAGAAATGTGCCTGTAATGATAGGAATACTGAGTATCCTACTAATCTTATTAATGCTAAAATTTGGTTTTTTAAACCTTCAGGTCAAGACAGCTGAAGGAATCGGTATAAAATTTGAAACATACTACATTGACATACTTACATGAGACATACTAAATTAAGTAAAATCGCGATTTTACTTAATTGGGTAGATTATTGTCTAGGAAAACACATAGGCTACTTTTCATCCCACGGGAACGTAGGTATGTACGTTTTTTATCAACGTTGGTCGAGTGGTCACAAGTGCGACTGCCGGGCAAGGGGTCTCTGGGGGTTTTATTCTCAGTGGTAGCACGGAGTCTGAAATTGTGCCCGGTATATGGCAATAGGCACACCCTCTATTACATGAGTCTCATGACATAAATAGTGAAAAGTGAGTGTTACATTGTACAGTGGCATTACCTGCCGTAATGAGCATCTCTGCTTATCCCTTCGGTGATCGCGGAAAACCTAACGGGTTACCGGGGCTCCGGTGGTTTTTAGTCAGTAAGAGTCTGACACTCCCTCCCGCCTCACCCAGGCGGGAGCAGTCATTCGATGTTTTCCCCCCTTAAAAAAATCCTTTCGGGGATAAAAGGCGTGATGTTATGTTGTTTATTTATAAAAAAAAACGAAAATAACCCAGTTGAAATAAATACTAGTTCTGTTAGCTATTCCTGGAATTAAATATAAATTTGACGATTCATTGCGTTCTATTTATGTGTAAATAAACGGTCGGTGCGTGTTTCAAGGAAATATTTTTGACTGCAATTAAAAAATGGTGACTATTTTTATTAATACTTGCATTACGGTCTATTGACTGCAGTATAATATTGATTTTGATATCGAATGCAATGAAAATATAACAGATTTTTATTTCCACGAATAGATATAACAATTTATGTAAGTTACTTATGACTGACTGCCTCATTGGGCGAGTGGGGTTCGATTCCTGGGTAGGGCAAAGTCTTAGGGGATTTAAAAAAAAATCTCGGTTGTAGCACGGAGTCTGGAATTGTGCCCGGTACTTACATGGCATTAGGCTCACCCTCTATTACATGGGACTCATAACATTAATAGTGAAAAGTGGGTGTTACATTGTACAGTGGCATTAAGTGTCGTAATGTGCACCTCAGCCTACCCCTTTCGGGGATAACAGGCGTGATTTTATGTTATGTAACTTAATTTTTTTGTTATTGATCCAAATTTTTTATATCCGTGGAGTAACACAGTAAGCAACGTCCATGTGTTACATACATAAACATATAGTCGAATTAACAAATTTAGATAACCGTGCTTCAAAATACCCCTGTAAAGTGGTGACAATGAATTCTAACTCCTTGTAGCATAGTCGTGGTGGCCTGGAGGTTTAAGACGCCCGGTTCTCATGAATAAGAGGGCTGGTCCGAAACCTACCAATGTAATGGCATGTGCCTTTATTCAAGTTATATGTACTTTCTAAGAATATCTAGACACCACTGACAAACGGTGAAGGAAAACATCGTTAGGAAACCTGAGCTTATGATTTCTAATTATAAATTTGAAATGGCCAACCCACATTGAGCAAGCGTAGTGATTAACGTTCAAATCTCCGTGCGGGAAGAGGCCTCTAGTCAGCATCAGTGGCCACTTATAGGTCGTTGATGATGATAATATTGATGTAGCATAGATCAATTACCATAGGATCCGTCTTCTACTCGTTTACACTATAAAATTACAGAGCGTCACATACTACCTATCCTTACATACTTCGGTATCTAGCTCCCATCACATTAATCTCTTTCCATAAAACGTCACCAGAGAGGTCAGTATTTATTCTTCTGTTGTGGCCCCTACGAGCAATAATGAGTTGATAATCGAAACTATAATAGTTACAATAAATATAACGATTGGTACCTCAAGTTGAATTACTTTGTGGCGTGTGACCTGAGCTTTATGTGTTAATAGCACGGATTTAACGCTCAAGGCTTAACAATGTGATAAAGAACTTTATGCTCTTAGAAATAGGCGCTGTATTGCAATAATGTTTATTTTGGTTACTTTGCTATAAGTGTATTTTCCTGTATTTTGGGGCGGAATGGTTTATGTGGAAGTATTGAAGGTTATAAATGGATTGTTCATTCCGAATGAAACAATTCTTCGTACTGAGAAAAGAATTAAATAATGAAACCTTTAAGACAAGAGCGTTCTTCAGTAAAAGACCATCGATGGGACTTGTAACTCCTTAGGCGTTGAGATTGTCTATACGTCACATTAATCACTTACCCTCATGTAGTCAATATGAACGTTTGCCCCTTTTTGTTGATAGGAATACATAAATACTAATAATTTTATGTTGATTGAAAATATCTTCTGATTATAACTTCAAAATGTTCTTTCTATTCTTCAACAGCCATGCCGCGGCAATGTATCCCTGCTAGAAGAGGACATATGGCGAGAGCAGCAATGCAGCGCTCACGATGACACCCCCTATGGTGGAGAGCTGTTCCACTGGCGAGCTCACCGTGATGATGCTGAGCCCTGCGCGCTCACCTGCAGGGGCACACCACAGCACTCGGGGCAGAGCCCTGAACCTGTAAGTATTGGGAGATCTCTCATAATATTTCTCATAAATTTTTTTCCGACCTTAAAAATTCAAATAGATTTTATGAGGAAAGACTAGAAAGTATGGGCTTATCGTTCATGAAAATCATCCTGGTGGCAATCAGCGCATATAAAAAAGTACCGAGGCTTCTAAAAAGACTAGTTCCGAAAGACCTACAATGCCATACCTCTTATCCAATATAAAGGGAACTTGCTTCTCCCTACTTGAGCCTTGATATGTATGATAGGACGTGACCACTAACTCCTCTGAGACCATTGAATGGACGTCCAGGTCTAAGCGCTCATAGATCCAAAAGTCACTTGCTGAAGGTAAAGCAGATGTTAAACGCCGATGCAGTTACTTCCTCAGATAGATCAGCACTCCCATTATACCTAAAACCAAGGACTTTAAAATAAAGGCAGGCATAGTCTCTTGAACCAACGACTGTGGCACCTAGCTACTATAGACTTACACGCAGTATACACACACATTGACACGAAGGACATCTGTCGCGTTACATGGCCCGATGGCCCGTAAGTACACTTCATACATTACGGTGTTGCAAGTACACGCACACATAAATACACCACTGACATTTTGCTGCTTCAATAATTTCTCAGTGACATTACGTTCTTGCCTGAAACCTAAATAAAAACTCTATGTCTATATGATAACCTCCTTTCCAAACTAGGTTGACAACAGCCGAGAAATAGGATGCATAACATTTATACTACCACTTCTGAAATAGAAACAGTCCGAGGAGAATCTCCCGTCTCCATACGATGAAACTTGAAATACATAATGCTAAGCTGGGAACAACTTTAAAATGCCAGTCTAGTATCAAAAGAAAGTTTCAAAAATAAAGTTTTTGAGACTGCGAGACTAAATTGTAACTAGGTTAGTGGAGAACCTTAGTATTCAAGATAGAACCTGACCTTTTGAGCACTTAGGTTTTGCAATATTAATTTGTTTAGAAAATAAATAACCTTATTGTGTGTTTAGTAAAGTGATATTTAATTTTTGATGGTTAGTTCTTTTTTAAATTACTTCAAATAAAGAAGGTTCTCATTTTGAACCTGTGTGTCTGTATGTATGTATGTTTGTGTGCGATTATCTCGCAATTGGCTCAACCGATTTTGATGCGGTTTTAAGATAATTGTTTATTGAACTTTGGTTTTAATACATAGGTACATACATAATCTTCACACACACCTGTCTCACAAAGGGTAGGCATAGACTATGGAACGCCAATGACTACTAACGCTAATTAAAGTTTTAATATCCTTTCGTGCGTTTCTCGTACACACGGGTGTACGAGAGAGTTGAGTGCCCAGCGCTACATGGTACACACGGGTGTACGAGAGTGACCTGCACCGATTGGATATTTTTTCTGTGACGTATATTTTCAAGTTTGCAACCCATTCTTTATTTGATTGAACAGAATAGTTAATTCGCTTTCTATTAAAATATTTACCCGTGTATACGAGAAACGCGCGGGAGGATTTATCATAATTAACTCGTCGAGTACCGGTTTTATAGACACAATTAAAGAACAATAGGTCGCGGTCACCGGTGACCGCTTGGTGTTTGACAGTTTAATCGACTTCATAAAAAGAGAGGGTTGAAATGTTTTTTTATAAACGTAGCTTATAAAAGAATTATTCTCTATTCACACGCTTTCATAGGTGATTTATTGGATTTTGTAAATAGATCTACAACAAAGTACTTACCTACTTATTTTTGTTTTTAATTTCAATCGCTGACTTGCCATTAAGTACGAAAAAAAGAATATTTATTTGAACCAAAATCTTTCAGTATTTCTTTTTGTTATTCGTAACTTGTTTTTTTTTTCAAGTATTTAAAGAATTGTCTTTTCATTATTCATGGCCTTCATTTTCAGTTAATACCTTAAAATCACGCACTTCGGTACCATTTAAATATTTTATTGGAATCTATTTGAATGCAGGCATTTATTTACAAGAAGAATCTTCAAGCAATAATAAATCAAATGATATCTTATTTTAAGTACAAATTCATTTATATGAATCACACAAGCAACTTTGAGCCATCAAATATCCAAGCAACACAAACCCTTAAGCTCATTGTTATAAGTATCAATATCTCTTGCAGACGGTGTCCCTGGATGATGAAGACCGCGTGGTGGTAGCTGTGCTGGCAGCCAGGGTGTCTGACGGCACGAGATGCAGACCTGGCAGTCTGGACATGTGCATTGATGGGAGATGTCAGGTGAGTGGAGTTCCTGGCATATTTTTTCAAAAGACCAATAGACTAAAAGACCAGTAGACCAAAAGACCACAAAGACTAAAAAGACCAAAATGTTAATAGTTAAGACGCAAATTCATGTAATAAGAACCAAGACAATTTAAATGTTATTAATTCTTATTTACGGCTTACTCGTGCAACTGTTTGACGTTGTACTTCGATCAGTTTCAAGTCAAACTAGGGACTCATAGTCATGAGTAGAATTGCTAGAGATGTTATTATTTTAAAACACAATATTTCTTAATGTTCTAAATTTTTTTAGTGCCACTGATACAACATTCGAGAATGTAATTCTACATTACATTAACAGTTCGATAATAATAATATGTATACTAACAAGTAATTTTAAAAGCCCCCACATAACATCTACATAACACAACACAATTAACACAAAGCCTCTCAAAATGGACATTATCTAGTTAGTTACACCGAGTTCTAGCTAAATATAAACGAAGGTTCCGTCTGTAGAAACGACCATGTTTGTTGAAAGGCTGTCAGTAGCCATTCTGAAACGGACGAGAGTTGGGCCAGGCACAATCGAGCTATATAAAACCAGCTTATCATGATCTCTGTTTATGTGATCTTTCTCCATACTTAACGGCCAGTTTATACTGGCTATCGTAACTTGACGTGTTACTCATGGTAACATGTTGAGTAAAGGTATGAATGATATAGATATTTTGTTTGTCTTATTTATTGTGTATTATTAGAAAACAGATGAAAACTTTTAAGAACGTTTTATGAATAAAAATACAATGTCAAACTTTAAGAAAAAAGTACGTAACGTACGAAAAAAGTACTAGTAATACGACTAGATAATTCGATTTGCCAACTCTTCAAATCGAATACTTTTTTCGAACTGTCAAAAACGACAATTATATATGATTGTTGTACGAGGTTATGTATTATGACGGCACATTTTTTTAGCGTCAAATAGCATATTTATTTCTTAAAAATTTGCTGGAAAAATACTAAAATTAAACTGTTAAACACCGCGAGGACACCGGTGAACGCAACCTATTTTTCTTTAATTGTGTCTATAATGACGGTACCTACTCAAACAGTTAAGTAGGTCATATTAATCAATTAATGAAAGTGTGATTATTTTTTTAATATTTTGATATAGAAAAGTCGAAATATTAAAAAAAAAATATTGGCTGGCAGGATAAGCGTATTAACGGCCTGACTAATAGATACACTTTTCATACTGAAATAAATTTTCTTCTACCTTCAAAGATTCCCAACAATATTATAATGGTGATTTGATTTATTTGAACATTTTTATGCTTGAAATCTCAGGTTTTTGTGATCAATAGATAGTTTTGTGAGAAAGAACCAAGGTTTATTGAGTCTCGTGCGTTTTGCGGGTCTAAATATTGGAATGATTTCAATATTCATTGGCAATTACCGAAGCAGCTTTAGTTGCTTTACTGACGACTACTTGAGGATTTTCCAGCTTTCTAGCCTGTCAAGTTCTCCGCGGCTCCGTATCGGCATCAGTACGATATATTGATTTGAAATGTCGCGTGACGTCACTTCTATGTACACCCCCACTCCTAAACTTTGTTTCTTTTTAACCGACTTCAAAAAAGGAGGAGTATACTCCCAAGATGGTCCCATTTCCATGAGGTCAGGATCTGATGATGGGATCCTAGGGAAACCGAGGGGAACTTTCGAAAATTCTATGGGCGAGTAGTGCGTCTATTATGTTTTTCAATTACGATTTTAAACACTACAATTTGATAAGGGTCTGGAGTCGACCTGATGATGGAGCCGACAGACAGTCGAGGGAACTCCTCAGTGGTTCATATTAATTACCTTGTGTTTGGGTGCCATAAGCACATATCATAATGATATAACATAATGTCCACAAAATTGTGAATTAGGTATCTATTAAGGTTTAATGAATAATTTTGTATGGGACTTATGGCACCGACTTCTTACCTATCAGTGGGTGGGTAACCTATCAGTATCAGTACTAATAATAGTTATTTTTTGCTTTTTAGTTTTGACTTTTTGTTTGTTATTAGTTTTTGGTTTTTTGAAGTCGGTTTTTAAGTTTTATTTTATTATACAACAAAATAAGAAAATACGTGTCTAATGTTTTTTCATTATCTAACTTACGGACTAAATAGACTTTTAATTTTCATACCCCGTCATCATCGCAATTGTATGCATATTATAGGAAAATACATAATTTATATAACGTTTGAAACAATTTCACAATATTAATGGTATGAAATGCACAACAGGATTGATATAAATCAATTATTAAAGTATGCAACATAAATACGAGTATTTTATACAACATTGATTATTTTTATATAGACATTATTATCATTCAATATGGCTGTCATAATTATAATTAAATGATATCACTGCAAATTGGTATTGATAGGAATATATGTAATCCTTACTTATATTATAAATCGGAAAGTGAGTTTGTTTGTTTGTTCCGCCTTCACGCCGTAACTACTAGACAGATTGCTTTGAAATTTTGCAGACGTAAAGTTAGAAGTCTGGATTAAATAATAGGGTACTTTTTGTCCCGGAAAAAAAATATATTTCCTAGGAAAAACAAAAATATTGGTATAGATGGCGCTGTATTTACTGGTATAGATGGCGTTGTATGTCATTTAAAACCAGTCAACGAATTACCTACTTATTAGAAAAATGTAAATAGCGCGATATAACCGAATTCCACGCGAGCGGAAAGCTATTTGTTTATTTGCCTGTCTTAAACGGCAGAACGGAAGTACTTTAATGTGAATGAATTTTTAACTGAAGGTAGTTGAACGGATGGATAGTCACATAGGCTACTTTATATCCTTTTGTGACGCGAGCGAAGCCGCGGGTAAAAGCTAGTTGTAATATATATGGAATCGTTGTAAATTAGGAATCCATTATTCACTGATGTTTTGGACACAGTACTATATTTTTGAGTATTTAGGTTCAGATTTACGGATTCAGTAGCTATGTGTGGGTAACCTATTAGTGCCTACTAATCAGTTTTTTTTATTTTACTTTTTGTTTATTTTTTGAAGTCGGTTTTTTAAACGCGGTTTTATTTTTTTGTTTTATAATTTTTAGTGTAAATCAACATAGATCCATTTTGCCACTTATAATCCACATAGATGCAAAGATCTAATAATACAAATTATACAAGCCAAAACATAAGGTAGTTACTGTATACCGTTGAAGAGTTCCCTTAACAATTAGACTTCTTCATCATCAGACCCTTAATAACAGTCCCACTCCATCTAGGGGTAAAGTCCTCATCAATACAAATTAATCGTGGTATGAAAATTAAAAATCTAATTAGTCTGTCAGTTATGTAATAAAAAAATGTATGATACGTATTTTTTTATTTTGTCGTATAAGAAAACAATACTTAGATGAAGAGTGGGAAGTAGCTACGTTATTTTAGTTAGAGTATAAATTGTACTCAAAAGTGACGTCACGCAATATTTCAAATCAATATATCTTCGAAACTATTCGTTTCCGTAAGAAAACAAAAAATACGTGTCTAATGTTTTTAAATAATCTACCAGACGGACATTAGAATAAAAATTAGTCGTCTATCCTATTGCCCTTCAAATCGCCATTTACAAACTAATAATAATTTTCACTTATAACAGTTTAGTAATAAGCTTCAGCAATATAATATTCTGAAGGTAGAATTGCTATTGATAGGAGTTGAATCGCGCGGTTACCTCGAACTCGAATAGACATCGCATATATTAATATTCCAACAAAATTACGCGTTTGAGATGTCTAGATTGATACTAAGCATAATATTTGCAGAAGTCTCAAAAGTAGACATTATGGACACAACTATAATATTATCCTTACTATCTAATATTATAAATCGGAAAGTGAGTTTACTTGTTTGTTTGTTCCACGTGAAGTTAGAAGTCTGGATTAAATAATAAGGTACTTTTTATCCCGAAAACGAAATTATTGGTATAGATGGCGCTGTGTGTATTAGTATATGTATTTATATATGGCTACTTTTTATCCTTTTGTGAAGCGAGCGAAGCCGCGGGTAAAAGCTAGTTATTGAATAAAGTGAGAAATACTGCCATTATCTATCATCGTAATTCGGCATGCTACGAGTAATTTTCAATCGTCGCCCAAAGACACCTGGAACACCAGAGGCGTTACAAGTGCGTTACCGGCTTTTTGGTGATTAGGTATTTGAGGATTGTTGGGGATTTAGGGATTCGGGAGATTGGGGAAGGATGGGGTTATTGGGCCTCCGGTAACGTGAAACACAACGCAAATGTTGTTTCACGTCGCTAATCAAATTCAATACAAACTTATTTCCAAATATCAAAAATATCTTTTATGTAACATATTTTATTGGATTCTGAATTGTATGACTTTTCTATTGGAGTGTGAGTTACCACATTACAGATTTTTTACGTCAATATAATACCTTTACCGTTTTATTGTAGTGATATAACTTACCAACACCGTAGGGGCTTGTAAAGCGACTGATATAAAGTTAGGATTATTAACGTTATAATTTATAACTAACTGACGGCACCGTTGGTGCCGATTTCGATTCCCGCACGGATCAACACTTTGTATGATTCACAGATTGTTGTTTCGGGTCTAGGTATCATGTGTATGTGAATTTGTATGTTTGTAAGAACACTCACGACACAGGAAAAAATCCTAGTATGGGGCAACGTATTATCAAAAACAAAACAAAACAAAAAAAAACTGCGTTTAAAAAAACCGACTTCAAAAACATAAACAAACGAAAAGTTAAAACTAAAAAGCAAAAAATAACTATTATTGGTCATACGTACTTACATATAGCTTACACATCCACTGATAGGTGAGAAGTCGGTGCCGGTTTTAATACTTATCGAAAAAAATAATAAATGCCCTAGTCGCCCCTATAATTTTTAAAAGTTCCCCTCGGTTTCCCTGGGATTCCATCATAAGATCCTGAC